CTCATCTTTAAAACAAAAAATTTTGTGCTTAGGAGACAAGCTCAGAAGTTTGGGAACAAGCCAAATTATTATACACAAACAACACTTAACATTTTTATGGTGTTTGTCAAAATCTTCTCAATATTGTTGCCCCTAGACGTATTGATGACACAATGGTTGAATATCTGGGTAAAGTTCATGCTCTTCTTCATAACTTTAATAAATTATTGTCTCCCATCCACTACTCAAGAATTAAGGCAAAGACCAAAGTTCTTAATGTTATTGGCTTTACATGGACTTTCTGATGACTATTCACATGTTCATGATTAGATTCAGGGATCTTTTATTTTGCCAAATTTTACTTATACTTGTTTCACCCTTTTGTGTGTATTAAGTAAACCAACCACTAATATACATACTTCCACTAATGAATCCTCTGCTTAGGCATCTCATCATGATCACAATCACCCTGACAAGTCAAGCAAATGATGTCACAAGTGTGAACATTGTCACAAGCTAGACCACAAGATTGATAGATGTTATGCCCTACATGGTCATCCCCCTAGATCTGTTGCAATTGTCCAAATTGCTCTCTCGCAACCGTCTACTATAGGTCCTACTTCATCTGATACCTCAAGAGAGCATGCTATTTTCAATCAATTTCTCAAATGGTATGAAGATCGTCAAAACACTAGTTATACTATTTTTGTTTCACAAACAAGTACATCTTTTGCTGGCTTCACTCGATTTAATTCCCTTGGCCCTTAGATTTTAGACTTAGGTGTCACAGATCATATTACTGGTAACAAATCTTTATTTATTTCTTTATCTCCAATAGGTTATTTACCTTCGATTACCATGGCTAATGGATCTAGAGTCTCATGGTATTGGTATTATTAATCTATTTCCTTCTTTATCTATTGAAAATGTTCTTTATGTCCTTAGGTCTCTATTTAACTTATTATCCATTAGTCGTCTCACTTGTTACCTTGATTGTGTTATTTTTTTTTTATCAAAGATTTTGTTTGTTTACGGGACTGGAGTTTAGGATGGATGATTGACAGTGAATGTGAATCTCATGGTCTTTATCATGTACAAACTTCTTCACATGTTGGCACAATTATGGATAATCCATCTCTTATTCATGTTCAGTTGGGTTATCCTACTCTTTCCAAGATGAAGTAACTTGTTCCAAGTTTGTCCAATTTATTAAATTTATCTTGTAAGTCATGTTAATTAAGGAAACACAATTGTAGTTCTTTTCCTAGAATTGTCTCACAACGTGTTTCATTACCTTTTGCCTTAGTTCACTCTGACATTTGGGGACCAACTCTTGTTAATTCTAATTTAGGATTTTAGTATTTTTTTACTTTTATTTATGATTATTCATTATGTACTTAACACAAGAATAGATCTCTTGTGAAATAACTCGTACAATTTCAATCCTCAGTGTTTTGGGGTGATGCTATTCTCACAGCAGGTGACTCATTAATCGCATGTCATCTTTGGTCTTAGCTAACAAATTTCCTCATTCTATTTTATTTCCTCAAGAACCTCTCCATCCCTTACCTCTTAAAGTTTTTGGTTCAACATCTTTTGTTCATAATTTTAGTCCTAGTCTTCATAAGTTATCTTCTAGGTCACACAAATGTGTCTTTTTAGGATTCACTAGATCACAAAAAGGATATAAATGCTTCTCTCCTTCTCTTATCCGACATTTCAGTTCAGTAGATCTCACCTCATTGAGTCTTCCCTTTACTTTAAGTCTCCTTCTTCTACGTCTCCTTTTGATAAGTCAATATCCCTATTGTCTATGATCCTTTTGTTGTGTCTAGTGCATCTCAAGATCCCTCACCTCCACCAACCCTTCCTTTTGTTGTGTCAAGTGCACCTCAAGATCCCCCACCTCCACCAACCCATTAACCATCGAATGAGTCACTTCTAGTACCAACTCCTCCATCCCCTTTAGGTTTGACAATTGAGTTAGAACTTCAAATTTCCCTTCGTAAAGGTATGCGCTCTACCCATAATCTATTTCCTCATTAGATTGCTTTGAGTTACCATAGATTATCTTAACCTTTTTATACTTGCCTTTGATTTATTTCTTCTATTTCAATTCCAAAATTTGTAGGTGATGCCTTAGCTTATCCTTGTTGGTGTTAGGGCATGCTTGATGAAATAAATGTTCTTCATAATAGTGGAACTCGAGAGCTCATCTCGTTACCATATGGGAGATCTGTTGTTGGTTATAGGTAAACTTTTGTTATCAAAGTTGGTCCTGATGGTACTGTTGATTGTCTCAAATATTGCCTTATGGCCAAAGGTTATACACAAATTTTTGGTTTGAACTATGTTGATAATTTTTCTCTAGTGACAAAGATGACTTTTGTTCACTTATTTATAGTCATGATTTCTCTTCAACAATGACATCTTTACCAGCTAGATGTTAAAAATAATTTTCTTACTAAGGATTTGCTGGAAAAAAATTATATGGAGAACTCTCCAAGCTTTGTTGCTTAAGGGAAGTCTTTTAAATTGATATGTTGTCTTTGCAAATCTTTATATGACCTCAAATAGTCTCTTAAGGCCTAATTTAGAAAATTTAGCAATATTATTCAACAATTTGGTATGACTCACAATGAGGAAAATCATTCATATTTTTATTGTCCCTCGAGTGCTGGGTGTATCCATCTAATAATATATATTGATGACATTGTTCTTACTAGTAGTGACCACCATGACGTCTCACAGGTGAAACAACACCTTTGTGATCATTTTCAGACCAAAGATCTTGGTAGACTTGGATATTTCTTGGGGACTGAGATAACACAATCCAACAATGGTATTGTTGTATCTCAAATGAAGTTTGATTAGATATTTTAGAAAAAACTAGGTTGATGAACTTAAAATCAGTTGACACACCCATAGATCCCAATGCCAATCTCCTACCTAATTAGGGGGTCCTCTGTGAGATCTTGAGAAATACAGAAGATTAGTTGAAAAGTTGAACTATCTTGTTGTTACTCGTCCTTACATTTTCTTTGTAGTTAGTGTGGTGAGTCAATTTCTCAATTTCCTATGTGCAGATCATTGAAATGCAATCATTCATATACTTAAGTGCATTAAAAGATCTCTTGGAAAGGTTTGCTAAATGGTCAAAATAACCATACTAAAGTTGTTTGTTATTCAGATTTTAATTGGGAAGCATATCTTCTAATAGAAGATCCACTTCTGGATATTATTTCTCCAATGGTGATAACTTGATCTCTTGGAAGAGCGAGAAACAAAATATTGTTGTAAGATTTATTGCAGAAGCAGAAAATAGAACTATGACCTTAATTACTTGTGAACTTATTTAACTTAAATAATTACTTAAAAAATTGCAATTTAGAGATGTCACTCAAATTACATTTATATGTAACTATCATTCTGCTCTTCATATTAGCTTTAATCATGTCTTCATGAAAAGACAAAACACATTGAAATTGATTGTCATTTTATTTGAGAAAAGATTTTATAGTTGGAGACATCAAAATTGAGTTTGTTAACTCAAAATTATCATATATTTTAACTAAGTTTTTATGAGGACCTATAATTGATTATGTTTGTAACAAATTTGGTACATACGATTTATAGACACTAGGGAGAGTGTTAAATATTATGAGATATTATTATAGGGAGTGTTAGATATTATGAGATATTATTGAATATAATGTCATTTGTAATAATCATGAAATTGACTTAACTCATACTTTTTGTATACCTTGTTTGTGTATCTTACATGAGGGAATAATCTTATACCTATTCTTTTTTTTTTCTAAATTTCACGCCATGAACAATAAATATTCTTCATCTAGTTTTCTATAATGAATGGTCTTTTTGTATTTAAGACACTCATACTAAAAATATCCGAATTGATAATACTTAAAGTATTCGATTGTTAATTTATTGACATTAACAATTGATGATACTTATTATTTCATTGTTACTAAAAATGTCCCACTTCAAAATAGAATTGATAATAAATTAGTTCTTGGCCTTTAAATCCTTTAACTTCATCTCATCTAATGCTTTCCTTTATACTGCTAGCTGACTCTATATTTCTTACGGCTCTTTCAATATTATTTTGATCTAGATTTCTACTAGTGACTTCAATGATTATAATCTCTATCAAAATTGGAAGGCGGTACAAAATTGGTTGATAGGGCTGCCATTGAAGCTCAGATTGTTAGGCACACAGAATATACAAAAGAATAGTACACCTTCTTTATTAACAAGTTTGGGTTTATATAAACCGTTTACAACTAATAAGAGAAAATTCAGGAACCACGTTTAACAACTCCTATAAGACGGAGGACTAATTCAACCTACAACCATATCCCTAATATTGGGGACTTTATTAACAGCAAATAATAAACTGAATTTACTAATAAGAAATCTTATCTGAACAATTTCAAATATCACAATTTTATGAATTTACTGAGATAATCTTGACTGGTGATATGCTAAAATAGTACAATTTTCGTATATTAACAGATATAGAATTTAAAGAGCCAAAAATACATTAGTGTTACATTTAAAAACTTAAAAAAGACAATTAAAATGTAGAGATTAAACCTCACAATCATTTTGCTTTAAAATAACTTGTAATATTCAGTCCTAAATTTTGGTTATTTTCATAAATTCCAGAGCATTTTTCAGTATTGTGGTGATCTTCGTTTGGTAAATTCCAGTGTATAACCTGATCACTCTATAGAATATCCTTCATAAACACACCTCAATGAAAACTATCAAAAAACTTGTCTTTGTCCTCCAAGATCTGAAGTGTGTACACAAAATCCTAATCTCATCCTGATTCAAGACCATCGTGACCAAATAAAAGGCCGTGAACATGATCAAACAGCACCACCATCTATGCAATTAACTAAAAGTTAAAACATTTGCGAAGTATAACAAAATTTTGCCTTGGTGCTAGGTTAATAATTCAGACAAAGTGGAGACATGTTAAAACTGATTTAGTTTCAAGAAAGAAAATTATACAAGCGGAACAACCTTGGCGGAGGGCAAAGGTGGGGGATAGAAGATCTGGAAAGCACATAACCGAAACCTAGGCAGAGGGCACAAATACCCACGTCCATGGCAATTCTTAGAACTTCCAATTTCGTTTCCAAGTGATGGCACGCTTCTTCAAGTTCTGGAGTGGCACCATCAGCATCGATACGAAGCTCTGTTTCTTTCGGAATGTCCACCAACTTATGTTTGTTATTCTTCAGAAGGACTCCATCCAACTCCGAATACGACGACCAACACATGCTCGCAGATGTAGTGATTGTTTGTTAGGAAGATGGAACCATTATAAGGAATTTTTTCTTTTTATTGAAAGAAACCGTATTTTGTATATTATATAAGGTCCGTGGGGGAATAAAAGGAAACAACACCAAGTTTTTAAGAAGCGCGCCCACAGAGCTAGAGGCTAGACCGGAGCGCATCCGCGGTTTTGGAGTCTACGGATGGCTGTATTTCTTAGTTAAATTATTAATTTCCTCTCAATTTAATCCATTTGGAGATTGACGCAGTATTTTATTTTCCGTTCAATTTTAAAAATTCATGATAATTATCTATACATTCGCATAATTTATATTATTAAAAATTGACCGATGTCACATAAAACAATAGAATGATATATTACATAAAATTTCAATTTAATCCTAAAATTTAAATAAAAATCTTAAAAATAATTTTTAGTTTTTATAATTGTTTTTTATTTGAAAGAAATTTCTTTATATTATCATTAAAATATAATTTTATTTTTTTATGTTATATTTTGATAATATGTAGGTATCTAATTGAAATAAAAAATAATATGAAAGATGAAATAATTTTAAGGGTTTATTAATAAGGATAACTAAAAAATATACATATTAAAAAGATTAAAAAGACATATTTTTGTGTTATTATGAAAAAATAAAAGATAAAATATGGTTTTTATATAATAATTATAATAAATATGTGTGTTTAGTACCGGAATCAAGTTCTGAAAAAAACAATGACGAAGGTTTGTTGAAGATTTGTAGATTTGATAAAACTCAACTCTTTTGTTCGTTGTACTCATGAGTGGTAACCGCCTGTGTTTTTTTGTCTTAATGTCAATTCTTTCTCACTTACTAATTCACAATAAATCATAAAAAACCTCGTAGAAATTATCTTTTTACATAAAGATGTATTAATGTCGTTAGAAGTAAGTTTAATTAATCAAAATATCCTTGAGACACATTTTTAATATATTAAAAATAGAATTTAATCAATTAAAAATACTTAAAAGCCAAAACGGGTATGTGAGGTTATGTTTTAATTTGTTAAAACAATGATTTAATCGATTCAAATGTTTCTGCTAGATTATATACATTTTGTATTTTGCAATTTTAATGTTAAAAAGGTGACGAGCCCCTAAGTTCTCCTCTCCCAAGAAGGAATTAGGAACATGATTAAAAAGAGAAGTTTCATCCTCATCCTTATAGTCTTACCATTTTTTTCTTGTTTTTGTAGGACTACGTTAGGGCAACTCTCTTTTAAAGTCTATCACATTTTTTTGAGGAAAAGAGACTTGGAGCATAGGATGACCCAAAAGGGAGATAAGGTCAAAGTTTGACCTCCCAAGTGAGAATAACCATTACCTTGGTGAGAAAGGCCATAACTTTGGTGAGAAAGGAGAGGGAGCCGACCCTTTAGGGTTTGTTTAGGGCAACAAAAAGCTTATAGAATCCCTAATGTATTTCCCTCCATGTCTCTCACCATGCCTATATATAGAAGACTCTCCACCTCTTGTAAATGATTAAAATTTGAATGAAAGTTTAAGAGCTATTCTCTTTGAGTGTTATTCTTCTCTTAGGTCTTATCTTGAACCTTGGTTCAAGTGGCGGCAACCACCACTCAACTTGAGTTGGCTCATCGCCCAAGTGGTGTGCCACCCCTCCATCCTCACCCCCACTTTTTCTCTTCTTCATTCTATTTTTTTTTTTCATCTCTCCTTTCATTTATTGCCATGGTTGGTCCTTCTTTTTCAACCCTTGTTATTTTGTTTTTTCTTGCTTGAATCCTCTCTTCTCCTCTCTTGAACTCTTGGAAGTGCACCTTCACACCTAGACAAGTGATTATCTTAGTGTTCCATTGGAATCTTCCTTGAGTCACTACAAGAAAAACATCAAATAATGACCGAAAATTCGGTCACTAAATGTGCAAAATCGGTTACTAATTAAAATAGTGACCGAAATAGTGACCAACTGGAATCGGTCACTGAATCAATGAAAAAGTTAATTATTTACATTTTTATTATATCTATTATTTATTTTCCCTATCTCTTAATGATATTATATTTTTGCTTATTTAAGTTTTTATTTATATTTATTTCCCCTATCTCTTAATTATATTATATTTTTTAGAAGTTTAACTTATTATTAGGTGGTTTATTGTCATTGTCGGGATTCGAACCCGGTACCTTAGAGTTGGAGGCTGAAACTCCAACCACTGAGCTACTAGGATCTTTTAATAATAACTTACAAATAAATTATATTTATATACAAATAAATGTATATCCGTACAAATATATAAATATAAAATTTATAAATAAAAATATATTTATATATTTTAATATATATTTAAATATTGATATATTTATATATTGATATATTTATATCTTTATATATTTTTACATATATTTATATTTTTATATATTTATATCTTCATATTTATATATAAATATATTAGTTTTCTATACAAATAATATTATAATATAGTATATTATACTATTAGTATAGTATACAAATAATATATTAGTATAGTATAGTATACAAATTATTAATTTTGTAATTTATATACAATGAAAATAATATAATGGTATATCTATTTATTAACACTAGTATTATCTTAAATTTATTAAAAGCGTAATTAAATCTCTATTTTCTTAATTTTATTTGTTTCAAACTTCTCAATTCTACATTTTTGTAAGTTCTATCATTATATTATCATCCTCATCTCCTCCCATGTTCTACTTTATCTTTACAATAGTCAATATTCTTAACTAATTTATAGTTTTAATTATAATTTTTTAGTATATATTTCAGAAATTAATCAATTCTAATCTATTATTTGAAAAACTAATCAATTCTAATCAATAATTTAGAAAACTAATCGATTATAATTAATTATTTGAAAAAATTATCAAATATGATCGGTCATTTTGAAAATATAATCGATCAGAATCGGTTTCGCTTGAGCGAGAGTAGTCTCGCTCAAGCGAAATACACCCGAATATCTAATATGCACTTTAGATAGCGGTTATGAGGGAACCACTATTATATCCTCTAAATTATGATCGGTCATTTCAAGTTATGATCGATCAGGATCGTATTTCGCTCGAGCGAGAGTAGTGTCGCTCAAGCGAAATACAACCCGAGAATGCGAATTCGTGCAGTTGGAGTTTCGCTCGAGCGAGAATATTGTCGCTCAAGCGAAATACATTTTAGATAGCGGTTCCACAGGAACCGCTCTTAAAAGTGCACTTCTAATAGCAGTTAACCATTAAACCGCTATCTTAATTATACTTTAGATAGCGGTTTAGGTGGAACCGCTATCATATCATCTCAATTATGTTTTGCAAAATGCCTCTACAAATGTTTTTAACAATTAAAAACAAAGTATTTTGACAAAAGCTTTCTCAAATGCCTCTACAAAGTGTTTTTAACAATTATATTGAGTTTAATTCTACAAATTAAAAGATTAAATAATAATAAATTTAATTCTTTAAATTCAGTAGCTAGAAACTAAAATTATAGTTTCTCTGTTTTAAATATTTAAAAATAAAAATCAAAACTAGTATTATCTTAAATTTATTAAAAGTGTAATTAAATATCTATTTTCTTATTTTTATTTGTTTCAAACTTCTCAATTCTACATTTTTGTAAGTTCTATCATTATATTATCATCCTCATCTCCTCCCATGTTTCTACTTTATCTTTACAATAGTCAATATTCTTAACTAATTTATAGTTTTAATTATATTTTTTTAGTATATATTTCAGAAATTAATCAATTCTAATCTATTATTTGAAAAACTAATCAATTCTAATCAATAATTTAGAAAACTAATCGATTATAATTAATTATTTGAAAAAATTATCAAATATGATCGGTCATTTTGAAAATATAATCGATCAGAATCGGATTTCGCTTGAGCGAGGTAGTCTCGCTCAAGCGAAATACACCTGAATATCTAATATGCACTTTAGATAGCGGTTATGAGGGAACCGCTATTATATCCTCTAAATTATGATCGGTCATTTCAAGTTATGATCGATCAGGATCGTCTTTCGCTCGAGCGAGAGTAGTGTCGCTCAAGCGAAATACAACCCGAGAATGCGAATTCGTGCAGTTGGAGTTTCGCTCGAGCGAGAATATTGTCGCTCAAGCGAAATACATTTTAGATAGCGGTTCCACGGAACCGCTCTTAAAAGATGCACTTCTAATAGCGAGTTAACCATTAACCGCTATCTTAATTATACTTTAGATAGCGGTTTAGGTGGAACCGCTATCATATCATCTCAATTATGTTTTGCAAAATGCCTCTACAAATGTTTTTAACAATTAAAAACAAAGTATTTTGACAAAAGCTTTCTCAAATGCCTCTACAAAGTGTTTTTAACAATTATATTGAGTTTAATTCTACAAATTAAAAGATTAAATAATAATAAATTTAATTCTTTAAATTCGAGTAGCTAGAAACTAAAATTATAGTTTCTCTGTTTTAAATATTTAAAAATAAAAATCAAAACTAGTATTATCTTAAATTTATTAAAAGTGTAATTAAATATCTATTTTCTTATTTTTATTTGTTTCAAACTTCTCAATTCTACATTTTTGTAAGTTCTATCATTATATTATCATCCTCATCTCCTCCCATGTTTCTACTTTATCTTTACATAGTCAATATTCTTAACTAATATATAGTTTTAATTATATTTTTTTAGTATATATTTCAGAAATTAATCAATTCTAATCTATTATTTGAAAAACTAATCAATTCTAATCAATAATTTAGAAAACTAATCGATTATAATTAATTATTTGAAAAAATTATCAAATATGATCGATCATTTCGAAAATATAATCGATCAGAATCAATTATCGCTCGAGCGAGATAGACTCGCTCAAGCGAAATACAACCCGAGAGTACTAATTTTGTGCGGGGGCGTTTAGCTCGAGCGAGAATGTTGTCGCTTAAGCGAGATGACGTTTAGATAGCGGTTACACGAGAACC